TCCACCAATCTTGACCCCACATTTCTCCTCATAGAGCCCAGCCTCCTGGATAATCTGTTCTGCATATAGGTTGAAAAGGTATGGAGATGGGATGCATCCCTGGTGTACGCCCTTCCCAATTTTGAACCATGCAGTGGCTTGAGTTTTTATAACATGTCAGAACCTTCTACTTCAAATTGAATATAGAACTATTAAAGAGCTTTAATATTTAAACTAGAACCAGTAGCTTTAATATTGGTCTAAATGTTAGTAAAGCTTCCCGCTCCCCTTAAGTGAATAAACCTTACTACTAAATTTTCAGACTTATCTTCTAAATTTCTAAGTACTTTGTTTAAGGAAGGGAGCTTTGGTGGCATAATGGATAGGGAATTGTGCTGCCAAACCAAAAGCAGGCAGTTCAAATCCATGAGTCACTTTGTAGGATAAAGATAGGTAGTCTCCTGTGTGATTTAAAGCCTCTGAAAATCCTGTTGGAGGGGAAGCTGTGAGTTGGTTCTGATTCATTGTAAATGAGAAGAGAAAATGAGATGTTTGAAGAGTTACCTTAACATCTCCACTGTTTTTCAGTACTCTTTTTCTGATATTTAACTGAACTGATTAATAATGATTATAAAAAGAATGTGTCAATAAATTGATGATTGGAGGATCGCAACAGTATGGCACGTTATTTATAAGCAGAGACACCCGCACTGGTTATACATTTAAGATCAATTCTTATTTTTCTGTCATGAGTTATTCAGCAGAATTTGATATTCTTATCATAGCTGTTGTGATTTTGGTTGCATTTCTTTTAAGAAGTCTTCAGTAGTGGTCAGTTCATATAATTTCAGATGATGTGTAATGTAGAAAATGTCTATAATGTGATACATTTTCATTGTAAATTGGGGTTTATTTTTATTCCATGTAGTTTCTAGCACTCTGAGGAGGAAAAAAGAATAACTCATTTTTATTATTCAACTTTTCTCAAAAGTAATTCTAAGCAGAAATGTGAGAATAGAGTCTCTTTAATAATACTAAAAAACTGGAAGAGAATAAAGGACATACGGCATCTTTTCATGAACAGCATCAATAATATTAATTATTACAAAAACTGCATGGTTGATATTTCTCTGCTTGTGAGATATTCCATTGGAAGAAACTAAAATCTTAAGTATTGGCAGAATCTGTGTTTTAAATGCGCTATTGGCTTTGCCTTAAACATAATTGTTTTTGAAAACTAGTGATAGATTATTTACTAACTGGTGGTGGTTTAAAAAATATTGATTTGTTGAATTCTGCATTTCCCTTGGTGTGTTTTTTCCTTCTTCTGTCTCTTCTTATTCTGTAGATTCAGATCCAGGACATACAAGTGAAAATTGGGGGGAGAGACTTATATCTTCTTACAGGACATACTCAGGTAATTAGATTATCAGGTGCTCCTGTGTAGCCAGTGGTTTCTGTAATTTATAATTAATTACTGTTCTATAAATAACTTTTAAAACCAGTCCATAGATGTTTGGTTGAACAAATTAACTTCACGAGTGACAACAAATTACCCAGTTTTATGTTCTGAGATATCCAGACCCTCCTATGTAGCATGCAATATATAAGCAAGACTGTGGGATACCGCTACTTAGGATCTGTCCAGAACACAAAACAAAGTGAAGTACAGCTGCCTACTTTCTGTGGAAAGATTCCCATAATCAGTTTTATCGTATGCCTTTCTCAGGTTGTACCACATATACTGATTGTGATGGTGTCCTCTTCCTCTGAAGTCATCCAATGTCTTTACAAAACATAGTATTTAAAATATATTCCACTGAACTTCTTTAGTTTTTATTGACTCTGCTACTTAAGTTATATCTAAATTAAAAGTGGATGGAAACACCACATTATGTGAAGAAATGCTTGTATTACTGATTGCATTGAGGCCTTTTTGTTTTACTACAGTACAATGTTCTATGATTTAATTCACAAATGAAACAAAATAAGGAAATACTGTAATTTAAAGTGTAATTGTGTTCTCTTGTATGTGCAAGTCGGTAGGTTAAGTGTTTTGGGTGTCTTTTTTTTTTTTTTTCTTTTAAATAAGCTGATAGTTTTACCTCTGGGTTTTCCTTTATGTAAATACTATTTTTTAGTCCTAGATTATAAAAATACACAGTTCTCAGCAAATGACATTTAGGTATAAAAAAAAAACCCCTCAGATTAACCTTCTATTTCCAGTTAATGAGTTTGTGAGATTATAGGTTTGTTGCTTTGTGTGCCATTGAGTTGAAACTGACCCATAGTTGACCTCAAGTGGATTTTCAAAGGCAGTAAATCACACAAGAGGAAACTGCCTATCCTTCTCCCACAGAGCAGCTGGTAGATAGAACTGCATGCTTTTAGATTGACAGTGCAACTTCTTAGCACAACTTGGCCGCCAGACCTCCCTAAAATTATCCCAGAAGTTATTAATTGAGCTAATACTTTAATATTGTCTAGTTATCAAAATTATAGATAGGACCTATTTATATGAGTAGTACATTTAAAACACCTGCAGTTATCTTCAAGGTAGCATGCTTTTCTGAAATGGATCTCCTAAGCACTGAAGGAGTCCCTGGGTACCTGAAATAATTGAACACATGGCTACTGGCTGAAAATTTGTAGCTTTGAACCCACCAAGGGGCACTTCAGGGAGCGCTGGTGGCTCAGTGGCAAGGAATTTTGGTATCAACCCAAAGGCACATGGTTCAGATCCTCCAACTCCACTGTGGGAGAAAGATGGGCAGTCCTTTCCCATGCAGTTTACAGCCTCTGAAAACCCACAGGAGGGTCATCTAGGAGTAATTTTTAACTCAGCAGCAATTAGCAGCAACAGCAGAGCACTTCAAAAGAGAAGGCTGTCTGTGCTTCTGAAATGTTGCTCCAGGGTAGCCCTGTGGAGCCTTGATCTACTTTAACACCTGGGGCCACCATGAGGCAGAACCCATTCGGTGGCAGAGGAGAAGCACCAGGATGGACCTGTAAAACATGTGTGTGATGGAGCATCTGTGGTCTTAGTATAATACTAGAGCCAGCAGCTAAAAGAGAAAGACACTTAACTGTCAGAAATTCAGTTAGTTATTAGTAAAGACGCAGTTAATGTGATTGACTTAATTCATCTCTTGCAGTCCATTCCTTACACAGTGCTTTTAGGGAAAATGTAATATTCATTCTTTAATTTTTGAAACATTTAAGATTAACTACTTTACCAAAATGGGAGATAAGGCTTTGTCTTTTCTCCTTAATATATTTTTATTTAATTTGGCTATGACAGTGATGAGTTTCATAGTTTTTTTCTGACATTACCTGAAAAGAAAGTTATCTCTGAAGAGCCTATAGATCCTGCAAGAAAGAAGAATGTTGGATTGTTAAAAAGTTTATTGTTCTGTTGTCATTTGTTTTAAATAGTTTTAAGTAGATCTTTTCGATTTTTTCCCCCTTTTAACTAGTCTCCAGCCAGGATACCCTGGTTGACATGAAAGGTTAAGCACTTGTCCACTAGCACACAATGTGGGGTCAAACTCAGCCAAGGTGCCACAGAAAGCAGCCCGAAAGATCTGCCTCAGAAAACTCAGTGTTGGAGACCCAGTAGAACAGTCCTTTCTGCACATAAGAGGTCACCCTGTGTTGCAGTGACCCTGATAGCAACTAACAGCAGTCCCTAGGCATGCTGAGGGAAATTTCAAGTCTTTAGTAGACTGCAAAATGGGTACATTTTTCAGTGTACTCAGTTTTGTGTCTCATACATGGGACATGTTGCTAGGAGAGGCTGTTACCTGGAAAAGGACATCATGTTTGGAAAGGTAGAAGGTCAGCAAAAAAACAGAAGACACTGGCTCTATACCCCACACTACCCCCAGTGAGATGGATTGACACAATGAGTGTAGCAGTTATCTCAAGCATGTCAGAGATGGTCAGGATGGTAAAGGTTCAGGTCTTTTGTTCATTGTATTGCTGTGGTTCATACTCAACAACTAACAACAGCAATTATTTCATAGGAAGCTCCTGTAATTAGTAGTAAGGAGCTGCACTGCCATCCTAAAGGCTTGCAGTTTGAATCCACCAGCTGCACTGCTGGACATTCTCCTGTGTGATTTATAGCCTCTGAGTACTCATTAACATCAGTGCTTTAATGTTTTGGGTTGTTCCTAGGACAAATGAAAATGTGCTTCAGTAATCAAAAAGAAACATACTTAACACTTCAAATATATTCTAAATAATATTTTATAAGGTCAGAGGGAATGTGTTCTTCACAATATAAACCTCAAATAGTCAAACTCTTGTTGAATGTTTTAAACTTGAAACAGCTCACTTTGCTACATGTTAAGATAACACTTATGATCTTAAAGAGTAGTAGATTTATATAGACATGATTCAATTTATTGTGCTCCATAGCTACTGTGATATATCTATCTCTATCTCTATGTATCTCTATATCTCTATCTATATATCTGTATATCTCTATATCTATATCTATCTATATATATATCTGCCTGTGCCTCAGCCTTGCTTGTTGATACTTGTTTTACAATAGCATGTGCTCTTCTTGGTTTTTTTTGTCACATTTTGGTAATTATAAATATATTTCAAATCTTTTCATACTGTTACTGCACACTCAGTAAGTTGCATATGGTATAAACATAACTTTCATATGCACTAGGAAATAAACAAAAGTTCATGACTTATTATTATAGTAGTCCAGAACCAAATCTAAGCCCACAATATGGCCAAGCTATGCCTACAGACATACCTATAACCTAGATAACCTTACACCAGATAGCTTCTTTTCCTAACCTTTGTAAAACATGAACTTGTGCAAATTACTTAGGAAACTAAATCAGTTCAATAAAAATAACATTCATTTTGTATGCTAATATCTGATGGGAATATTTGGTTTTGTATTTGAAGTATATCCAATTTGTTAAATTTTTTTGTAAAAGATAATCATTATTTATTGGTGTTCTGGCCTTAAAAGTAGGTGAGTCAAATCCACCATCTACTCTGTAGGAGAAAGATTGGCAGTCTCTTCCCATGTAATTTACTGCCTCTGAAAACCCATTGGAGGGTCAGCTTTGAGTCAGTTATGACTCAACAGCAGTGAGAAAGAGAATAATTATGTATTCTTATTATTAGTTTTAATGAACATTAAAAAGATTTTGGATTTCCATTCATTCATTGTTGCATTTTTCTCTCTGCCAAACCCCTCCCCCCAAAGTTCGCTCTTCTCTTTGAAAAGTAAAAGAAAAATTTCTTCATTGGTATACACTCCCTGCGCCCCCCACCACTCTCCCCCCCAAGTACACTCCACTAGGCAACCTTCATTCCAGACGTATTCTTAATTTCTTAACAACAAAGAATGCTAATAATGAATTGAAAAGTGTCTCTTTTTCTGTGAGATGGAGATATATATATATATATATTTTCCCCCTGTATTTTATTCCCTCCATTCATCAAGTTTTATTTCTTTTCTTTAAAATATATTTTCTTGTCTATGTTCTGTAAAATTCTCATATTAATATTTTATTTAGGAGGAAATGATATTTATTTAAGTATTTTATTCCAGTGGGGAGCTATTAAAATAACAGTCGTATAGATCCATCCCACTCTGTCCACGTGAGGTAGCCATTAGTTGGAATTGAAAATTGACAATTGACAATTGTGTTTTCTTATTAAATATCAGAGAACAAAGGCATGTAGGAAATTAATGAGAGAAGTAATATCTTTATGGGGAAGAAAGATTTCTCCAAAAGGCTGTTGAAGGCTTTATAATATATTTAGTGTTAGAGCAAATACTGAATGGAGATGGAATTTATACAAAATTATATTATGATAGTTATACAATAGAGGTGAAAACAAGAATGAAATAGAATTATGAGTTAAATAAGCCTTGAAAATGTTTTGTTATGTATATATTTTACAAATACTCAGTAAAACCAGTCTTTAAGGAGGTACGGAATGTTCAGGTTTGTGAGCAGAGAAATTTGAACTTAGGCTCCCCGATTCTTTCTATGGTATTAGGATACTAGTTCTTAATTAACTAGGTGAATAGTGCATTGGAATAATTTTCATGTAGAGTTCTTAGGCACACTAATAACAACTAGCCTTTATTACTAGATTCTTAGAACTTTCTAAATTAATAAATGCTTATTTCTTAAGGTATTGTAGCTGCTGTCACATCTCCCTTGAAAAAGATACTATTTAGTTCTCCCACTCATCTTTGCAATTTTTTTCCATTTTCACTTTAATCTTTTTTTAAATTTTGCAGCGCTTTTCTTCAAGGCCTGACCCTTGTACTTTGGTCTATATTTCCACTTTTTTTTGTTGTTTCTTTCCACATATTTTTAAAGTTTCCCAAGAAGTCGATACTAATACCTAAACAAGTAATAGCCAGATATCAACATTCACTTGCACAGGACTACCTGCCTTAATTTCCAGAGAATTCCTTAAGAAAATGAAAATATCTGTATAATCTGTGAAATCAGTTTATCATTTTCCTACAGCATAATGAGAAATGCTGGTTGTGGTGTTAAGTCTGAGAGCTGATTTTGTGAGAAATAAGATACCTTTGAAATGGGCCTTGGTAATTTTTTTTAACTTTGCAGGATCTGTGTTAAGCTGCAGAATCTCTAATTAGAGGTTCTACACAGAACCACTGCTACACAAACACGCTCATTTGACAGTTTTCAGCTTTGATAAATGCCACTTTCTGTGTGGCTGGAAGTTGGGAATAGGTACACTGAATAGGTACTGTTCAGTGTGATGAAACCTGTCTCAGTTTTCAGCCACTTAGCTCTTCATAAGATTGTAAAAATCATTACTGGAATCAGGACAATAGTTTAAGAAATAGTAGGAAATAATTTCAACAAATATTAACTATATAGATTATCAGTAGTTAGGAATAAAACGTTAAATGATTTGAAAGAAGCTGTTTTAAAGATAATAATACTAAGGAATATTTGAAATGCTACATCTGTGGAAGGAACCGCTGGAGAAGCTCAATATCAGCTGTGAAAACTAGGCCGGGGACTGATTGTGGAACAGACCACCAATTACTCATATGCAAGTTCAAGCTAAAGCTGAGGAAAATTAAACCAAATCCACAGGAGCCAAAATATGACTTTGATTTCATACCACCTGAATTTCAGAATCATCTCAGGAACAGGTTTGAGGCCTTGAACACTAATGACCGAAGACCAGATGAGTTGTGGGAAGATGTCAAAGGTATCATCCAGGAAGAGTGCAAACGGTCATTACAAAGACAGAAGAGGAAGAAAAGACCAAAATGGATGTCAGAAGAGACTCTGAAGATTGCACTGGAGCGTAGAGAAGCCAAAGCACAAGGAAGAATTGAAGATACTAAAGAGCTGAACAGAAGATTCCAAAAGGCTGCTCGGAATGACAAAGCAAAATACTACAATGAAATGTGCGAGGAGCTAGAGTCAGAAAATCAAAAGGGCCGGACTCACTCAGCATTTCTTAAGCTCAAGGAACTGAAGAACAAATTCAAACCTAGAGTTGCTGTAATCAGTGATGCTTTAGGCAGAATATTAAATGATCCAGGAAGTATTAAAAGAAGATGGAAGGAACATACTGAGTCAGTGTATAGGAAGGAATTGGCAGATACAGAGGAATTTAAAGAAATAACATATGAGCAAGAGCCTATGGTGATGGAGGCAGAAGTTCAAGCTGCTTTGAAGGAAATAGCAAAAAATAAGGCCCCAGGAATAGATGGTATACCAATTGAAGTATTTCAGGTAACAGATGTTGCCCTGGATGTGCTCACCAAGTTGTGCCAAGAAATCGGGAGAACAACCACTTGGCCAACTGACTGGAAGAGATCTATATTTGTTCCCATTCCAAAGAAGGGTGACCCAACTGAGTGTGAAAACTACAGAACAGTGTCATTGATTTCACATGCAAGCAAGATTCTACTGAAGATTATCCAAAAACGATTAGAACAGCACATCAGCAGAGAACTGCCGGAAGTCCAGGCTGGATTTAGAAGGGGTCGTGGTACTAGGGATATTGTTACTGATGTTAGATGGATCTTGGCTGAAAGCAGAGAATACCAGAAGAATGTCTGTCTGTGTTTCATTGATTATGCAAAGGCATTTGACTGTGTGGATCATAACAAACTGTGGCTGACTCTGAGAAGAATGGGAATCCCAGAACATTTAATTGTGCTAATGCGAAACCTATACTTGGACCAAGAGGCGCAGTAGTCAGAACAGAGCAGGGTAACACTGCATGGTTCAAAATTGGGAAGGGTGTACGCCAGGGATGCATCCTGTCTCCATACCTTTTCAACATGTATGCAGAACAGATTATCCGAGAGGCTGGGCTCTATGAGGAGAATTGTGGCATCAGGATTGGGGGAAGATCTATTAACAATCTGCGTTATGCAGATGACACAACCCTGCTTGCTGAAACTGAGGAGGACCTCATGCACTTGCTGCGAAGGGTCAAGGACTGCAGCCTTCAGTATGGACTGAGGCTCAATGTCAAGAAGACAAAGATTCTCACCACTGGACCAATTGGCAGCATCAGGATGGATGGCGAAGAGATTGAGATTGTTCACAGCTTCAGTTTGCTCGGCTCCACAGTCAACACTCTTGGCACCAGCAGTCAGGAAATCAAAAAGCGTATCGCGATGGGAAAGTCTGCTGTTAGGGACCTCTCTAAAGTACTCAGGAGCAGTGGTGTCTCTCTGGAGACTAAGGTGTGCCTGATACAGGCCATGGTCTTTGCAATTGCTTGTTATGCATCAGAGAGTTGGACAATGAGTAGGGAGGACAGAAGGAGAGTTGATGCTTTTGAGTTGTGGTGCTGGAGAAGGGTACTGAATGTACCATGGACTGCCAGGAAAACAAACAGATTCATCTTGGAGAGGATTAAACCAGCTACTCCTTGGAGGCAAGGATTCTGGGGCTTCGTCTGACATACTTTGGACATGTTGCCAGGAGCGACGGGTCCTTGGAGAGGGACATCATGCTTGGGAGGGTGGAGGGGCAGCGCAGGAGGGGAAGACCCTCTATGAGATGGATCGATTCGTGGCTGGGGTAATCGGGATGGGTGTGTCAGAGGCGGTGCGGTTGGCGCAGGATAGAGCAGGGTTTAGGGCTGTTGTGCATATGGTCGCTATGAGTCGTAAACGACTCAACGGCACATAACAACAACAACAACAACAACAACAACAACACTGAAGAAATTAAATTTTGATAGAACAAAACACTAAAATATAAATTTTAATGGAATTTAATTTCTAAACGTTATTGTTTTTTTAACATGAAGAATATACCTTTTCAAAGCATTCAGAAAGGTAATCTGCCTGTACAGTGTAATAAAATTCCAGTGATCTTTTATCTGGCTACTACTACCACATGTACATCTTAAAAACAAGCAAACATACTTTGCTTTTGAATACTTTTACTTGTTGATGTCTTTATGTATTACTAATACCAAAGTCCTTTTTATTACTAATTCCAGAGAAAGAAGGTCCAGAAAAGAAGAAGGCAAAAAAAGAAGCTGCAAATAAGAAATCCACCCCAGTTAGCATTCTCTTTGGTTATCCACTCTCGGAACGAAAGCAAATGGCACTTCTTATGCAGATGACAGCAAGAGACAACAGTCCAGGTGATGCCTGCTACAATGCGTGTATTCTTCATTCTCCTTCTAGTCTTAACTATTATTTTTAACTAAATTTGATTCTTAGCTGGATTTAATCAGATTTTCACATTTATAGTTTTACCTTTATTTGTGTCAAAATTTGTTGTCTCTGTCCCCCCATGAGATTAGAAGCTTAAACATGGGCAAGGATTTTTGTACTTAATAAGCATTCTGTAAATATTTGCCAGATGAAATAAGTAATTTATATATGAGTTATTCAAACTGAGTAATCAGTTCCAGAGCGATGTGGTTTTACCTAATAAAATTTGTTTTATTCCATTTCCATAGACTACTTCCAGGTTTATGGTTTACTTTTCAGTTCACTAGCACTTGCTGAAAAATTGTATTTTGACAACATTACTGTGGTTAGGATTTGCTAAATTCTTTAGAAGTAAAAATATCTGTAGTATTATTGGGTACATTTAATTCACATGTGGTACTTCTAATTGAGCTTCTTGTCTCACAGGAAACTACTCAATTCTCATCGAATGCTAAAAAAAATGTCACACTGTGTTTTCAGGAAGAATCAAATATTTTGGCTCTAGATTCAGAATATCTTTGTTAGTGGCTAGGTAACCTAGTTGACCCTGTTAAAATGCACAGATACTGATTTTTTTTTCTGTGAACATAGACTTTGTTGGCTCTTCTTCTTTTTTTTTAAATTTTATTCTTTTGTGTGTGTATGTATCATCAAAATGGATCTGTTGCTATAGGAGGAGATTGTTCCTTCTTCTCCAGCAGAGCATCTGGTGGATTTGAACCACGTACCTGTGGGATTTCAGTGCAGTTTCCTGCCACTTAGGCCACCAGAGCTCCCTGGGTCTTTTAAAACTAGAAGAATGTGTTAATATTAAGAAATTCTTAACATTTCTAAATAACAGTTTGCATGAGTGTATCTAATATAGTAATGAAAACATTCTAGGTTTCCTGTTTCTCAGCTGTAGCATACTGTTTCCACCCAGTGCTAGAGAATGACTCGAGGCCAAATTAAAGATGGATCATCAATGTCTGTGTAAGGTTGAATTTGATCAGATTTAATAGTCTAATGGAAAGATTTTCCTTTTAAAAAATGGATATATTATTGACCATTCTCTTTATTCTAATGAATAAAAGAAAACAATAAAGCAAGGGGAGATGAGACAAGATGGCATGTTGGTGACATACTCTGCCCAACAAAAACCAAAACTGCTATCAAATCGATTTCCACTCACAGGGACTGAAAGACCTGCAGATGATAACTCAGTACAAAATGAGAACAGAAAGAATTAGATTAAACACTAATTGTAAAGAAAGGGACTGATTGAAAATAGTAACAGGATAGAGAGCTAGAGTAGTGCCCCATGTGGTGTAGGGCCTTTTTGAGACGCAAAAGACAGCAAGCACACTCAGTCAAGGAGAAGCCAGCCACTGAGGCAGAGGCACAGTGGATACAGATTTGGGGTGAAACCAGGTCGCATTCTGACAGAATGCTTGCTCCCACTTTCAGAGTGTCACACAATCACAGATAACACTCCAGACTACTCCAAGCACACACTTCTGGGCAACGATCACTTCTAATACCACAACCACAGAGGGACGAAGGTGACTTGCGGCACCATCCCAATTGGTTTTCATTAATTTTTTCCTGTCATTTCCTACCGTTTTCATATTTTATATTAATTTCTTTTTCATCTTCCCTTATTTTTAATTATTTCCCCTACTTCCTTTTTTTCTCTGCCTCATCTGATAGAAAATGAACATTATTTTCCCACTTGTCAGCCATGCCCACCACATCTACAACCCCACCATTAGGTACTCTTGGTACCACTGAGTTAGTGATCAGATAATGACCACCAGCTGCTCACTCCACCTACAGCTCCTTTTTTAAACAGCAAAGAAAAACTTGAGCCCGTGTTCCCAACAGTAACTCTATTTACCTAGAGCCAGTTGGAAAGTATTCCAGTGCTACAAAATAAGTGATCAAATAAGCATATCTAAATTCTACACATCTTTTTATTTCTTGACTGTAAATTATTGACATCTTCAGTCTTTTTTTTTTTTACTGATTGGTATTTTTTTTATTCATCCACCTAGAAACATCTACATATGGTAGTTTGTAATTCTTATTTTTAAAGCAATTTCATTTGACCTCTTCAATCCTTTATCTACCTTGATATTGTCTATTGGTTCAATGGTGAAGATTTTTGTTTTCTTAATGTTGAAATACAATCCATGTTGAGGACTGTGTTCCTTGATCTTCCTCGTAAAACCTTCAACTATTTTTTCTTTCTTTTTTTTTACATTTTATTAGTTTTAATGAACATTTTACAGAGATTTTGGGTTTTCATTCATTCATTGTTGCACTGTTTTCTCTACCCTCTTCCCCAGTTCGTTCTTCTTCTCCCCTCCCCGAATGTCTGTTTTAATTGTCTAATTGCCACAATGCTTGTCAAAGCCAGTTCTGATTAATCTCCTTTGTCAGTGTGTCCTTTGCC